TTTTTTTTTTTTTTTTTTTTTTTTTTTTTTTTTTTTTGTAGTTTTTGTGATTCCATGGAAATCTTCTCCTTATAAGTTGGAAATTTGAATTTTTGAGTGACTTGTGATATCAACCTTTTAAGGCATTTGAACGGTTATTATTACTGAATTTTGGTCTGTCTTGAGAAAGTTCATATTTTTGATAGGTCAAGCACGTTTGCAAAGAAGACTGTTAATCTTATCCTCGCCTTATTTATTTTCCTCTCTATCATGTGTATTTATTTTAGCTTTTGTGATAACATGTCAATCTTCACCTTAAAGTTGGGAATTTTGGATTTTAGGGTGACTTGTCATATCTACCTTTTTAAGGCGATTCTGTAATTTCGAACTGTTATATGTAAGGATTTTTTTTCTTTTTTGGGAGAAAAATTTGTTCTTTTGATGGGTTAAATGAGTTTGCAGAGAAGTCAGGCTAATCTTATGTATCTATGTGAAAATTCTTATTTTGTTTAGATAAATTTGATTGCTGTGGATTTTAGGTTTCATTTGTTTTTTTGCCTGGCTGCGTTGTTGTTAAGACCTGAATACAATCATCTTAGCCAAATAAACCACGGTTATTTTTACTAGCACAATCCTTTTAAGACCAGTCTCTTGGGTAATTTGTACTTGCCAGTTTTAAGTGGAACTCTAGGTTACCGCATTTTGTTGGATCACCTATTTTATCTTTAGGTTTTCTACTTGTTTTCTGATCATTGTTGTGCCTTTTGCAGGTAATCACAAAAGAGTCTCTCTTGGCCGCACAGGTAAAAAAAAAGTCATGTTTCTCTTTTCATGTTCAGTATTAACATCATGCATTTGTTGTTCTGGAAACTATATGCATGTGTTCAAGGTATTGACGTATTTTTCCTCATTCTTGCAGAGGGAAGATTTGCAAAGAGTAATGGACTTAATATCTGTGAGAGAACACCATGCCAGAACTCTTCTTATTCATTACCGCTGGGATGTTGAGAAGTTAATTGCCGTTTATGTGGAAAAGGGGGAAGGTTGCATGTTTGCTGAAGCAGGTGTAACTCTGGTTGGAGCTGTTGACCTTGATTTACCAGAGTTGTCTTCTAGAGTTATGTGCGATATATGTATTGACGATGTGCCTGTTAGTGATGTGAGCAAAATGGACTGTGGCCATTGCTTCTGCAACAGCTGTAAGCACCCCTTAGTTGGATCTTGTTCTAGGCATCTACTCTATAATAATGAAAATATAATCCATTACATGAAATCATGGTGGTTAAAATTGTATGATTGTACTATCCCAGAAAGAAAATTGGATCAAATTGTACACAAAATTGTATTTTGATAGAATTGGATTTGAACTGTAACAGAATTGTATGATTCTTACTTTTCCAACAATTCCATGATTCAATGTAAACGGGGCCAAAAAATTGGAGGGGGGAAAAATAATAAAAACGATTAGACTAGTTTACTAGGTAGTAGGCGCAGCTTCATTGCAAGAAACTTGGGCTTGGGCTATGTTTCAATTTTAAGTTTTACTTTTAAACTACAAAGAGAAAATGATGATTTATTTTCAGTTATAGCTTACAAGATATAATTTCTTCTTTTTATCGAATATAATGTACAGTTGCAGTAGATGTATTGATGAACAAAAGTTGTTCTTAATTTTTCATCGAAGTTCCCCATTTTTCAGTTTCATAGGTTTGAGCTTTAATCATTGTATGTTACCAAATTTTTGGCGAATCATTTATGAAGTACTTGAAATTGTTTGCTATCTTTTATTATATGTTTTAAGCTGATTATTGACTTATAGTTAGTAATTAGTTTGAAATTTTATTTTCGTTTTTTTGTTCCTTTTAAAGCAATATTTAGTAGAATCTTATGATTTACGATCTCATCCACCTATCAAATTAGCAATACCTCTCCACCGATCCGATCCAAAAATATGATTCTGATAACCATGCACGGAAGTGCTTTGCTATTATTCTATGCAGTTTTGATATGCGTCATAAACTTATAAGGAAATTTCATTCTGCACGTTTTGGATTGAGCAGTGTCATTTTTGTTTAATCACAAGAATTTTGTTTTCCAATTTTACTTGCTTAACTGTAATGTGGGAAATTTTTAGCTCTCTTTTTGACCAACGTAATTCGGCTCAGGTTGGACAGCGCATTTCATTGTCAAAATAAAGGAGGGCCAGAGCAAGCGGATTAGGTGCATGGCCCACAAATGCAATGCTATATGCGACGAAGCTGTTGTTAGAAAACTAGTTAGTAAAAAGCACCCTGATTTAGCAGAGAAATTCGATCGATATCTTCTTGAGTCATACATCGAAGACAACAAAATGGTTAAATGGTGCCCAAGCATACCTCATTGTGGGAATGCTTTACGAGTAGAAAATGATGAATTTTGTGAGGTCGAATGTTCCTGTGGTTCACAGTTCTGTTTCAGTTGCTTATCAGAAGCCCATTCCCCTTGTTCATGCTTGATGTGGGAGATGTGGACGAAGAAATGCCGAGATGAGTCAGAGACAGTACACACAAAGCCTTGTCCTAAGTGTCACAAACCTGTGGAGAAGAATGGTGGCTGTAATTTGGTTAATTGTGTCTGTGGGCAAGCATTTTGGTAATAGTAATTTTTACGAGCTTTTCTTGTTTGTGCAACTAAATGCTCATTGGCAATTTTGGCATAACCTGCTTGTGGGAAAAGATTCTCTACTCAATCTAGTGATCTGATGCTTGTATAAATTCAACGTTAATAAAATGCCCTATACTTTAGAACATTAGGTATATTCCTGTGCATATGATTCCAGTACCTATCTCGGGTTTTATATATTTCATTTCTCTTTACTTTTTATGTTATTTTTCCCTATCTGGAGAATTTTCTCTCTTTATTCATTTATATATTTTGTGTGTGTGTGTGTGTGTGTGGTGGGTTAAGTGGGGGTTGCTTTAGAGCCGCTATTCCAGTTTTACACTTTCTCTAGAACCTTTCTCCTGACAAAATTGAGCCAATGTTTCATATTCTAGTCATCAGTGAAACCTACAAGTCTTTCTTTTCAATGAAATGGAGACAAGCCTTTTAGTTTACATACAGCAAGATCACGGAACTTGCTGTGAAATGGAATCCAAATTCCTGCAAATTTCCTTCTTTATCATCAGAATGAGAAAGGAAGTCCTCTTATCCTAATTGCCTGAAGCTTATGGTTTGCATCAATGAAAAATCAGAGGTAGTTGCTGTACTTGGGTTAAAAAATGATGGGACATGATTTATTGCATCAAAATATTAGGAAAGTTATGTATTGACAAAAAAATAAAAAATAAAAAAAATTACGTGTCTTTTTTGCTAATTATGCGTTCAAAATAATAAAATAATATTCATGTGATATTGTAACTACCATTGATCATTTCTTTGGTGGAAATCTTTGCTTGTTCCCCCGATGTTTAGTTTTAATACTGGTGACTGGGGTAGAGAGGGGTTAGGCGACAATGTTGTCTCATTTGCTTTTGTCCCCTTTTACCTCTTTTTTTGACCAGAAGAGTTACAAGTTTGTGGGATCGTGATGATCTTCTATTGAAAGTGCTGCCTTCCTGGAAATTCTTTTTCATGCGTATATCTCTCGGTTACATTGGTTTTTCTAACTTCTTTTATTCGTCTGTACTCTTATCATACAAGTTTTTCATGTGTCAATGTTGTGCTTGGAGCTTTACTTGAGTAGGAATTATATGCTCCTAAGTTCCTTATTTGGCATGTACATACATATCATGAACTCACATTCCTACTTTTCATTATCGATGCTGTCTTCTTACAATCTTGTAATCATCTTGCTATAGTTGGTTGTGCGGTGGAGCTACTGGCCAAGACCATACTTGGTCAAACATTATTAATCACAGCTGCGGTCACTATAAAGAAGATGGCGAGAAAAAAGCTGAACGTGCAAAGCGAGACCTTTATAGATACATGCATTATCATAATCGCTATAAAGCTCATACAGACTCTTTTCAGCAAGAATCTAAATTGAGAGAGACCATAAGGAAGAAGGTGTTAAATTTGGAAGCAAAGGATTCAAAATTGAAAGATTTCAGCTGGGTTACAAATGGACTTTACAGGCTCTTCAGATCGAGGCGAGCTCTTTCATATTCATACCCCTTTGCATTCTACATGTTTGGCGACGACTTGTTTGAGGATGAAATGACAAAGGAGGACAGAGAAATAAAGAAGAATTTATTCGAGGATCAGCAGCAGCAGCTTGAGTCTAATGTTGAAAAGCTTTCCAAATTTATTGAGGAGCCATTTGATGGGTATCCCGACAAACAAGTTATGCAAATAAGGATGCAAGTCATTAATCTATCAGTGATCACTGATAGCCTTTGCAAAAAAATGTGAGTTTCAGTTGTTATGAAGGCTTAAATCTTATTGGAGATTATAAGCTTATACTGTTGCTAATCTTGCAGGTATGATTGTATAGAGAATGATTTATTGGGTTCTCTTCAATTTAGCATTCACAATATAGCTCCATACCTATCAAAAGGTGTTGAAAGGGCAGTAGAGCTGACCACTGGATGGAGCACACAAGCAGGCTGCAATATTAGATGTCAAACAGCAGATGATCAGGCCAATGGTAAAGTAGTTCGAAATTTTCTTAGTATTTTTTTTTATTATTATAAAACACTAGGAAATGGTGCTTTTCAGGTCCAGTTCTCTTCTGTGGTAATGGAGGTCACTTTCTGCTGTAAGGCATTTGATATTTCTGGTTGCGGATTGGTCAATGTGATATGAAAAGTACAAGTCATATTGGTGGTCAAGGATTGTCAAATAGATGCCAAGATTCCTGATCTACTTCACTAATTTGTAGGGAATGAGAACAAAAAATGGGACTCACCTATCACATATGGTGTTTTGGTAGGGGTTGGAAACAATAGAATGAAAACGTTGGAAGCTTTGAATGTCTCAAGGTCTCTAAATATTTAAAATTATCTCCCATTTCAATTCTTGATCAACGATAAATGAGGCAACTTGTGAGAAAGAAGCATTATGGTAGTGATCTTTATAGAGATACCATCTTTACCATTTGCTTATTCATGTTAACATTTTAGCCTCTGTTTGGGAAGAATTAATAAACGGTTTAATTTATATTTGTTTATAAATAAGTGGTGGATAAGTGGATAATACTTGTGTGTCCATTAGAATGTGATTAAAAATGAAGTTTGACTATTTATAAACAATGTGTAAATTTTGCCAAATGGAGGCTTACTCATAAAGATCAGCAGAGGGGAAGTCTTTGAAGTTGATTAATTGGATCTCCATACCGATTCCCAATTTTCTCAGTATTTGCTATTTTGCATTCAAAAGTTAGCATTTAAATTCTAGCCAAATATGACCAAGGCCTAACTCAAGCGGTAAAAATGAAGCTTTACCAAGCTGAAGACCTGGGTTCAAGCCACTTTTTGGTGGAGGGGCGAAATCCATTGATTGAATTTTACATTCAATATGCTAGTTTTGGTTGGTGGTTTTGATTTGTAATACTAGGCAATGTAGTAGTTGAGAATCTATCTGGCAAAGGGTTACTAATGATGATGCTTTCTGGATTTGTAGTAATGCTCAAAAAATTTCCGTACCCATCTATTGCGTGTAAGTATTTATTGAACTTTTACATAATTTTTATTTGAATATCTGTTGGCTGCTTAAACATTCTTGTCTGAAAATTTAACTTGCCTAGCATATGATCTGGTGAGAGCTTTTTAGTTATAAGATCAGCTATGAATTTGTGATATTGATCTTGCATGCATCGCTTGTGTGGCGTAATTTGCTGGGACGGATTGAATGGGAAATAACTTCATCTATCCTTCTCGCTTATCTTGCAGGAGCTACAATAGAATCAGATCAACCATCTACCTCTGGGACGACTTCAGACGATAGTGGATGCTCAACATGGAAACGAGCTAGAAAAGAAAGCGGTGAAGGTGGCCTGATTGATCTCAACTTGCCTGTTGAGGTTATCGACCGAATTGATTAAGTAGAATTCTTCTCAAAGAAGAGGTGTTCAAGTTGCGTCTAACATAAAGGGCGATTCATTTGATAGGAACTGATCACTTGTCAGACTGAAAAATCCGTAGGCTGTACATAGCCTTCCGTTGGGACTCGAATACTTGGTCAATAAAAGTATATATAACTTGGCCAATGTGTAGATGGAATATGTTTGTAGTTCTAATTTACTTCAAGTTTTTGGACTAATTGTAAGGTGT